ACCGCTCTATATACCCACCAGGACATGTGCACACCATGGTGAAAACGTTAAGTAACCATTATATAAGTAGATGCAATTCTATTTACCAACTGGAGTTGAGGGGATGCATTTGTTTATGTAACAAACTAGAGGCCCAATGCACAAAATTCATGCAAGAGTAGGCCTTTCTTTCCCAGGCTGCCGGCACGGGCTTCCCTTTGACACCCGGGACCCCGGCTTCCCTCGAATCCCCGGCTTCTGGAAGGACATCCAGTTTAATTAGCATATTATGCTTTTATTATTATAGATTCCTCAGAATGTGGGCTAGGAAAATTGGGTTTGCAGTTGTAATATAAATAATACAATAATTAATAAATAATAATACAAGAATAAACTCTGTTCTGGGTAGTCACAACGGTAAACCTATTTTTGCCCTCCCCATATACTGAATTTGTAACATCTCAAGAAACCTATAGGGATCTGAGTTTGCTCACTCCTCAAAAGTGACCAGTTAATAGTGCTTCTTAAAATCAAGATTGTACAAAGCTGTTTCATTAGGGCACAATTATTAAAATTGCATTATCTTTAAAATAAACATACAGAAACAACTGTGCTCAGAGCCTCACAAACCCCAAATAGATAGTTGCCTTGCTACCATTAACATACAGTCCATTATATACCTATGACTATTTCCTCTCATTTCTCCTAAAAGTTTGACACCACTGCCTGTGGGAAAGGTGTGCTTTCTTCTATGCCGTTTATTGATTAGTCCCATCTAGGCCATAAAGCCCCTGAACTCCTATGGCAATTATATGACTCATCTGGCATTGCTCAGGTGCTATCTTATGCAGTTAAGCAGGCTTGTTTTCCACTATGTTTCCTGCTATGTTTCATCTCCCCAACTACATTATAAGCAATTGAGGAATGACTCTCCCTGGTGTTTACTAAAGTGACTTAAGTTAGACTATAAGCTCCTTGAGGGAAGGACTTTCATCCCTTATTTTGTTTTTCAAGATAACTTCTAGAGCCCTACCCTGAACTACAGCATATAATCCATAAATATTTTTTTATTGTTTTATTGCTTAAAGTATTACAAAGGGTATTACATATGTGTCCTTTTTTCCCCCCGCCCTTGACATTCCCCTGGCTCCATAAATATTTATTGAAGGAAATAATAACCATACTAAACCAGGTGCTCAAGAGGTATTTGTTAGGTTGAATAATACTACTACCAATCTACTATCAGCTGGACCTCTTTTTGGATTAATTTCCCAACAGCTGTGTGATTTTCATTAGTAATTCTAAACACGTCCATGACTTTGTGGCCTAGGACTGCCCTATGACACGGGTGAGAGCCAAACACACACAAAAGGGTGGAAATCAGAGTTTCTATTCCCAAGGAATCCCTGCTTCTTTTCCATTTCTCAAGTTCGGCAGCTGTTCTCTTATAGACCCTCTTCCTGTCCAAGCATGCCTTTGCATGGGGTAATCATGCCAACAACCAGCATGACTATTTTACACTAGAATTTAACCCCTATTCATTAGCACAATGAGAGCCACCAGGCAGCCTCACGCATGGATGGGAAGCAAGGGAAATCAAGGCAGCTGGCTTGGTGTAGATTCCAGGGGTTGGGTCCAGCAAGCACATCCCTTTCTGCCAAGATCATCTACTCTCAGAGACACCCACACGACACTAACATTCCCTTACCCTGTTTCTCCATTTAGATTGACAGGTTAGGAGGAGAATGTCGACTATAGTGGGACTGTTCGTTTTGCATGCTACCATTGCTGAAGAAGTCTGGGAGTTCATGCTGCTTTCTCCCGTGTTCCTGCAAAGTAGAATTACTAGGAAGGGTTCCCTGGCCGTGTGTACCCAGGAGCTTCCCAGGTTCAGGAAAGGGCCTAGCAAGGGGTTCTTCCTCCAAATGCATTGCAGAACTCCCACTATTTGGAGGAGGTACTACAGTTCTTCCATTGCAATGTTTATCTGGCAGTTGATGGCAGCACTGAGCACTTATTTGGTAAATTCAGCAAAATATTCTGTGTTCACTGTGTGAGGGGTTCTCATGCTGCCTCAGTGTCCTGGGCTCCCAGGGGTGACAGCTGCAAGGCCACAAGACTGTTCGTGATAAACTTTGGTCGTCAGCAACTTCACAGGCAACTTTCTCTGACTCACTGCGTGTTTGGCACATGACAAAGTAAATTGGCTCCTGGTACACAGACTAAGAATGGGCACGATTTTCTGGGGATTACACTAAGGGTTTGTGGGATTAAATTTCTATCACAGACCTGGAGGGTGTGGCTCAGTTGGTCAAGTGTCGTCCCATGCACGGAAAAGTTGTTGGTTTGATTCCTGGTCGGGGTACATGCCCAGGCTGTGGGTTCAATCCCAGGTCGAGGAGCATGCGGGAGGCAACTGATGAATGTTTCTCTCTCATGTGGATGTTCTTTCTCTCTCTCTCTCAAATCAATAAAAACATATTTAAATCATTTCTAGTGCAAAATTTCTACAGTTTCTGTATAACATACTACTGATGGAGCAGAAATGTTATGATTCTCTATATTGTATCCATTACTCTCAAACCCAATGTCTATCAGCCTCCACAGATATTACAGTAATGCCCTAACAGCTCCTCTTACAAACAACAGGCATCGATTGACCACCAGCCCATACTACATGCTCTATTGCCACGCATTTCAGACCTTAGTTTTTAAAATATTTCTAGATCAGCTTCAAAGATGGTTCTAATAAACTCTTTAGTTGCAATTGAAGATATATACTAAAGAAACATGAAAAAGGTAATATCTATTCTTTTTAGAAGATCTGCCCTTAGAAACTATTACTTAATAGTGACAAAAACAATAAATGTGTTCTTGGCTTACGAACTGCTTATCTAAAGTAAAAATGATAGAAGAGGCTGGTGTGTGTGTGTGTGTGTGTGTGTGTGTGTGTGCGTGTGTTGCTATTATTGTTGTTTTCCTTTGTCATACTCTGCCCCTAAAGTATTGGACACTCAATTACAGTGTCCACCTTAGAAGTTTCCTGGTGGATATGTCAGCATGCTTTCAGCTCTCAAAAATAAAACCTTCAACTCAAACTGCC